TAACAACTCAGTGATGCCAGCCTTGGAGATGTCATGCTCACTATGCCACCTCCTGTTTACAATTTAGTTCCCCAAACAAAGATGTAAAGAGAATGGACTGCTGGTTCACTTAATAAATGTGACTTCTAGGCACTTATTTAAACAATGTAATGAGAATACAAATATCAAAGGTATCTTTCCCTTACTAAGTTAGCAGCAAATGACAGAGACAGACATCATCTTATCTTCAACAAGAGCAATAGTGGCCGGCGCCGCGGCTCACTAGGCTAATCCTCTGCCTTGTGGCGCCGGCACACTGGATTCTAGTCCCGGTCGGGGTGCCGGATTCTGTCCGGGTTGCCCCTCTTCCAGGCCAGCTCTCTGCTGTGGCCTGGGAGTGGGAGTGCAGTGGAGGATGGCCCAAGTGCTTGGGCCCTGCACCCCATGGGAGACCAGGATAAGTACGTGGCTCCTGCCATCGGATCAGCGCGGTGCGCCGGCCGCAGCGCGCCAGCCACAAGGGCCATTGGAGGGTGAACCAATGGCAAAGGAAGACCTTTCTCTCTGTCTCTCTCTCTCACTGTCCACTCTGCCTGTCAAAAAAAAAAAAAAAAAAAAAAAAGAAGAAAAGAAAAGAAGAAGAAAAAAAAGCAGCAATACTGCTTCATCTTACATCCATTCTGGCTTCTCACTGACAGCACAGTGAGGTAGGTAAGGTACAGCTTGCACCTGAGGGACAGGTCTACCTCGTATCCCTAGGATACCTGACTGTTCCATAGTCAGCACCCATACCCTTCCCAATTTGCAGTAGGGCTCAGTTTAAGAGTCAGAGGTTACAATGGCATGAACAGGTGCTGGCATTTGGCATACTAGTTATGATGTTGCTTGAGATGCCTGCATCAAGTATTGGAGTCCCAGCTGTACATTTTTACAATTTTTTTTTGACAGGCAGAGTTAGACAGTGAGAGAGAGAGACAGAGAGAAAGGTCTTCCTTTTTCCGTTGGTTCACCCCCCAAATGGCTGCTATGGCCAGTGCACTGCGCCAATCCGAAGCCAGGAGCCAGGTGCTTCCTCCTGGTCTCCCATGCAGGTGCAGGGCCCAAGCACTTGGGTCATCCTCCCCTGCCTTCCCGGGCCACAGCAGAGAGCTGGCCTGGAAGAGGAGCAACCGGGACAGAATCCGGCACCCCAACTGGGTCTAGAACCCGGGGTGCTGGTGCTGCAGGCGAAGGATTAGCCAAGTGAGCCGCGGCACTGGCCCCAGCTGTACTTTTGATTCCAGTTTCCCGTCAATGCACACTCTAGGAGGAAACATGATTATTCAAGTGCTTAGAGCCCTGCCACCCACGTGAAAGACTCAGATTGAGTTTCTGGCTCCTTGCTTCAACCTGGCCCAGTACTGGCTGTTATAAGCATTTGGGGAATGAACTTGCAGATGAGATGATGAGATATCCCTCTCTGTCTCTCTGTCTGTCTGTCTGTCTGTCTGTCTCTCTCTCTCTGTTCTCCACTATCAAGTGAAAATAAATAAAAATTAAAATGGCATAACCTTATGTGTGCAACTATAAACATAAATGCACACACAGACAAGAGACTGGAAAGCAAAATACTAAATATAGTAAAGGCAAGGTGTGTGAGTGTACATAACAGGTAGGTTGGCTTCAACAATTGCTTTCTCACAGTTTTGGAGTCTGGAAGTCCAAGATCAAGGTGTTGGCAGGGGTGACCTCTCATTGCCTACCTCACTTTGTTCTCATGTGGCCTTTTTCCCATGCATTCAAGCATACTCCTGGGACCTCCTCCTCTTCCTATAAGGGCAATAGTCCTATTGGATTAGCCTCTGCCATGATTCCCTTTCATCTTAAAAATCTCCTTAAAGTCTCTATCTCCAAAAACTGTCATATTCTAACATAGTAGGGGTTTAGAACTTCAACACAGGAACTGGGAGTGACACATTCACCTCATAGTAGAGGAAGCTCTTAGATAACATTTCTCATCACACAATATGTCACAATCATGTTGTCATTTCATAATTTCAATATGGTGTAAATGATCTCCAGTACCACAGAGTGCTATAAATTCCTTCCCAGATTGCAGGGCTGAGAGCACCTCCAGACAGGAACTTGTCCCCTTTACATCTCCTTGCTCAGAACAAGGCCCCAGAGAGGGCTCTGTCAGCCCCTGTGACAGAGAGTTCAGGAGCATTCGCCTCAGACTGTTCTCAAATATCCTAATACCTCAGGGGTCGCCTCCTGCCTTCCATCTGCTCTTTTTGCCAACTCATCCCACGTTTTACCATAAGAGATAAATGATAATAAAAACATCACCATACATGCTGGAAACACAAATAATGACCCAAATTATAGAGGGTAACTTAATTTTTACTCATGTATTCCATTACTGTATCAATTTTATTTATTTATTTATTTATTTATTTATTTATTTTGACAGGCAGAGTGGACAGTGAGAGAGATAGAGAGAAAGGTCTTCCTTCCATTGGTTCACTCCCTAAATGGCCGCCACAGCCGGCGCACCACGCTGATCCGATGGCAGGAGCCAGGTGCTTCTCCTGGTCTCCCATGGGGTGCAGGTCCCAAGTACTTGGGCCATCCTCCACTGCACTCGCTGGCCACAGCAGAGAGCTGGCCTGGAAGAGGGGCAACTGGGACAGAATCCGGTGCCCTGACCGGGACTAGAATCTGGTGTGTCGGCGCCGCAAGGCGGAGGATTAGCCTAGTGAGCCGCGGCGCCGGCCGTACTGTATCATCAATTTTATGATCCAAATATGATTCAGGAGGAATAGGAAATATCTGGAAGTGATATTTTAAAATTTACCAGTAACATCAAGAATATGGAAACTTATCCGCATAGCAAGGTAAATTAAATAATAAAGCAAACTCACAATAAACTTTCAATTTAAATTGAAGATGAGTAACTATGCCAGAACTTTTGTTGAGTTATTTTAAAAAAAAAAGAAACAAATGCCTTATAAAGCTATATGTATCACTTCAATTGTAAATTTACTCTTCCACTGCAATCTTTTTATTTATTTATTTATTTATTTTTTATTTTTTGACAGGCAGAGTGGACAGTGAGAGACAGAGACAGAGAAAGGTCTTCCTTTTGCCGTTGGTTCACCCTCCAATGGCTGCCGCAGCTGGCGCGCTGTGGCCGGCGCACCGCGCTGATCCGATGGCAGGAGCCAGGTGCTTCTCTTGGTCTCCCATGGGGTGCAGGGCCCAAGGACTTGGGCCATCCTCCACTGCACTCCCTGGCCACAGCAGAGAGCTGGCCTGGAAGAGGGGCAACCAGGACAGAATCCGGCGCCCTGACCAGGACTAGAACCTGGTGTGCTGGCGCCGCAAGGCGGAGGATTAGCCTAGTGAGCCGCGGCGCCGGCCTCCACTGCAATCTTATGCAGCATTTTCCACTTTCCTTTTATCCCTTTTGACAGTGTGTTGAAATTGTCTAATAAGCTTCCCTTCCTCCCACCATACTGCTTATTTGTCACCTAACTGGCATTTGCAAATGTACAAGTGCAGAACTGGGAGCCAGCATGCTACCTCCAGAATACCTTCCCTGAACTTGGCTTTGAGGAGAGGTGTTGATTATTTATCACAAAACACTGATGCTAAAGAGCTAAATTATAGAATTCAGGTTCAGATTCTTCCAGGTTAACAGCTAGGTTGCTTGGGTTTGAAAGCTAGCCTTATCTCACTGTGCCACAGCACCGGCCTCAAGCTGGGCTCTTTAGACTTCATTTGTTTTGAGCACAAGTTTTCAAACTGGGGGACAGGGCAGCCAATAATGTTTAAGGCATGAATTTTATGTGTTTAATGGAGAATTTTAAAATTCTTTAAAGTAGTTGAATCTTAATTCTCCCAACACAGTTTACTTGTGAAATTGATATTTTTTTAGGAAAAATTCATATCTTTTCAAGGCTTATGTATGATCATAAAGGGACTGAAAGGAAACACCAAAATGAAGTAGGGTTTTGGAAAGTTTTAATATTCATTTATATGTTCAGAAATTTTAATGAACATGTACTATAGTGTAAAGGGGAAAATGTGGTTTTTTTTTGAAAATTATTGCTTTTTAAAGAATGAGTTTAACAGAATTTCTTTTTTTTTTTTTTTTTTTTTTTTTTTTATTTTTTGATAGGCAGAGTGGACAGTGAGAGAGAGAGACAGGTCTTCCCTTGCCGTTGGTTCACCCTCCAATGGCCGCCGCTGCAGCCGGCGCAGCGCGCTGATCCGATGGCAGGAGCCAGGATCCAGGTGCTTTTTCCTGGTCTCCCATGGGGTGCAGGGCCCGAGCACCTGGGCCATCCTCCACTGCACTCCCTGGCCATAGCAGAGAGCTGGCCTGGAAGAGGGGCAACCGGGACAGAATCCGGCGCCCCGACCGGGACTAGAACCTGGTGTGCTGGCGCCGCTAGGCGGAGGATTAGCCTATTGAGCCACAGAATTTCATTTTTTAAGCACAGACAAAAGTCAGCTTTTCACCTAGAGCCAGCGAACAGAATATAAAAAAATTCAAATGTGTTCTGAAATAACAGAGTCAACGTTAGAATGCTCTCTCTTCTCTTCCCATGGTTCCCTTAGTGTCTGGCGCTTGTTGGAGCAGAATTTGGCCCATGACTAGGTGGCTAGCACTTTATCTGGGAGCTGCAAGTGCAAGACAATGAGAGTAAAGTAAAAAATAGAGGTGAAGCTAGAAAGCACAAAGTCACATGATTCAAGATTCCCAAGCTCTTCACCACGTCACAAGAAGCCACAGTGAGCCAAAGGACTAAAGGGAGTGTCTGGGCCTCAGGGTAGTCTGCAGATGGAGAAAGAAGGGAGAATTAATCTGCCTGGTTCCTTCCAGCCTCCCTTTTCACTAATCAAGGTTCACTCCACAAAAAACTCACTACACTGCAGGGCCAAAGTGGAGGCTCAACCCAGTGAGGGCAGAGCTCTGATGAGAAAGAGAAAGACAGGGCCAGCAATGTGGTGCAGAGGGTTAAGCCACGGCTCACAACACAGGCATCCCATATCCAAGTGCCAGTTCAGGTCCCAGTTGCTTCACTTCTGTTCCAGCTTCCCGGAAATGTACCTGGGAAGGAAGCAGACAATGTTCTGAGTACTTGGGCCTCTGGCTACCCCCGTGAGAGACTAGGATGGAGTTCCTACCTCTTGGCTTCAGCCTGGCCCAGCCCTGGCAGTTGCAGCCATTTGCAGACTGCCCATCAAATGGAAGAGAAGGAAGATTCTCTCTCTTTCTCTCTCTCTCTCTTTCCATCTCCCTCTCCCTCTGTCATTATGCTTTTCAAATATATCTTCTAAAAAAAAAAAAAAGAGAAAGAAGGCATCTGACACAGAAATCTGAGGAAGTACTCCATGTTTGCCTCTACCACATTTGTAATCAATCCTCATAGATACCACACTGTCTTTTTAGGGTTTATTTAAATTTTATTTACATTTTTATTGAGGCAAAATTCCATAACAGGATTTAGTGTTTGGCACAGTGGTTAAGGTGCTGCTTGGGACACCCACAACCCATATTGGAGTGCCTGGGGTTCAATTCCTAACCCCACTCCAGATTCCTGCTTCCTGCTAATGCACACCCCAAGAGGCAGTAGGTGACGGCTCAAGCACTTGGATCCCTGCCATCCATCATCCATGTGGGAGACCTAGACTGAGTTCCTGGATCCTGGCTTCAGCCTGGACCAGCTCCTACTGTTGCAGGCATTTGAGAAGTGAACTAGCAAATGGTAGATCTCTCTCTCTCCCTGTCTTTCTTTCATTCTCCTCTTTCCCCCCTTTGCCTTCTCTCAAATAAATATTTTAAATAAATATTTTTGAATAATATTTTTAAATAAATATATTAAATTCACATGACATAAAATTTATAATTTTAAATACACAATTCAGTGGATTTTGCTATATTCATAATATTGTGCAACTATCTCCATTATCTAGTCCGGAACATTTCCATCACCCCATGACAAAATCCTGTAATGACCCCCAATTCTCTCCTCTTCCTATCTTCTGGCAACTCCTAGTCTACCTTCTATCTCTGTGGATTTGTCTATTAGGAATATTTCATGTAAATGGAATCACACATTATGTGACCTTTTTTTTGACTTTTGCCACAGCATAATGTTTTCTTTGTTTTTTAATTTTTTCATTTTTTTAAACTTTTATTTAGTAAATATAAATTTCCAAAGTACAGTTTATGGATTACAATGACTCCCCCACCAACTTCCCTCCCACCCGCAACCCTCCCCTTTCCCGCTCCCTCTCCCCTTCCATTCACATCAAGATTCATTTTCAATTATCTTTACATACGGAAGATCAATTTAGTATATATTAAGTAAAGATTTCATCAGTTTGCACCCACACAGAACATAAAGTATAAAATACTGTTTCAGTACTAGTTATAGCATTAATTCACATTGGACAACACATTAAGGACAGAGATCTTACATGAGGAGTAAGCACACAGTGACTCCTGTTGTTGACTTAACAATTTGACACTCTGTTTATGGTGTCAGTAATCTTCCTAAGCTCTAGTCATGAGTTGCCAAGGCCATGGAAGCCTTTTGAGTTTGCCGACTTTGATTTTATTCCGACAGGTCAAAGTCAAAGTGGAAGTTCTCTCCTCTCTTCAGAGAAAGGTACCTCCTTCTTTGATGGCCCCATTCCTTCCAGTGGGATCTCACTCGCACAGATCTTTCATTTAGGTGTGTTTTTTTTTTTTTTTTTTTTTTTTTTACCAGAGTGTCTTGGCTTTCCATGCCTAAAATACTCTCATGGGCTCTTCAGCCAGATCCAAATGCCTTAAGGGCTGATTCTGAGGCCAGAGTGCTGTTTAGGACATCTAACATAATGTTTTTCAAGGTTCATCCATGTTGTAGCATTAATCAACACAACATTCCTTTTTATGGTTGAATAATATTTCATTGTACAAACATATTTGCTTTTTTCATCAGACAATAGGCATTTGGGTGGTTTCCACTTTTTGGTCTTGGGAATGATGCTGCTATCAACATTGATGTGCATTTTTTGGTGTGGATGTGCAGTTTTAGTTTTCTTAGCTATATACTCGGGACTGGAATTAATGAGTATTATGATAATTACAGATGTTAACTTCTTGGGGAACTGCCAAACAATGTTCCACTTCAGCTGTACCATCTTACAGCCTCATCAGCAATGCATGATAGTTCCCACTTCTCTGAATCCTCACCCAAACTTGCTTTTCTTGTTCTCCTTTTTGTAAAATTTATAGCCATTCTACTAAGTGTAAAGTGTATCTCACTTTTTGAAAAGATTTATTTATTTGTTTATTTATTTATTTGAAAGGCAGAGTGACAGAGAGACTAATAGAGATATAGAGAAGGAGGGAGGGAGAAGGAAGGGGGGAGGGAGAATCTTCCATCCACTGGTTTACTCTACAAATGGCTGATCCAATCCCCAAATGGCCGTATCAAGCCAGAAGCAAGGAACTCCATCTGGGTCTTTCACATGGGTGGCAGAGGCCTGAGTACTTGGGCCATTTTCCACAGCTTTCCAAGGCACATTAAAAAAATGATTGGAAGCAGAGCAACTGGTATTCAAACTGGTCCTGAGATATGGGATGGTGGCATTCATTACAAGCTGCAGATTAACCTGCTGTGCCACAATGCTAACCAGTCATTTTTTAAAATTTATTTGAAAGTCAGAGTTATATATATAGAGAGAAAGTTAGGAATCTTCCATCCACTGTTTCACTCATCAAATGGCCACAATGGCCAGGGCTGAGCCAGGACAAAGCCAGGAGCCAGAAGCTTCATCCAGTTCTCCCACACGTGTAGCAAGGGTCCAAGTATTTGGACCATTTTCTGCTGCTTTTCCCAGGCCATTAACAGGGAGCTGTATCAGAAGTGGAGTAGCCAGGACATGAACAGGAGCCCATATGGGATGCCAGTGCCTCATCACAGGTTGCGGCTTTACCCACTGTGCCACAATGAGGGCCCCCAGTCGTTTGGATTTTGATTGTCAATTTGCAAATTACTAATGATGTTGAACATCTTTTCATGTGTTCATAGCCATCTCTATACCTTCTTTAGAGTAAAGTCTATTCAAAACCTCTGTGCATTTAAAAAATTATTTATTTATTTGAAAGGCAGAGAGAGAGGAGAGAAGCTTGAAATGTCCACGTAGCCAGGCACTCTGGCCTGCATGCTGGTCTCTCCCATGTGGATGGTTGGGGCCCAAGTACTTAGACCATCTTCTACTGCCCTTTCAAGTTCATTAGCAAATAGAGAGGTGGATCAAAAGCAGAGTACCCAGGACTTGAACTAGCACAACGATATGAGATGCTGGCATCACATGCAGTGGTGGCTTAACTCTCTCTGCCATAAGAACCAGCCCCTGCCCAGTTTTTTATTGGGTTACTTTTTTTATTGCTGAGTTGTAAGAGCTCATTCTATATTCCAGAGCTTTTCAAGATACAGGATATGGAAATATTTTCTTCCACTCTCCGTGTTGTCCTTTCATTTTCCTAAAGACATCCTGTGACACACGAAATTTTGATGTTGATGAATCGCATACTTTGGTTTTTATAAAAATGATTATATTGCTTTACAAAAGTCAAGTCTAACACAGCACTAAAAACAAGAACTCTGCATACAAAGCACGACAAAAAGAACTTGTCTGTATTAGCCAAAGCTATATTTTCCACTTCTTCTTTTCATGAGAGAAACTGGATGGGCAGGGCTATTTATTATCACCATCAGCTTACATTCCTGCAGTCATCAAGCACCACCCATTCTAGTATTTTACAGAAACTGAAAAATGAAAGATGAGTGACAATCGTGCACAATACAGCAGCGAATGAAACACAGACTGCTGAGGGGAAGGATCAATGGTTAAAATGTTTTGCTACTTATTCCTTTATTTATTTGGGAAACAGAGAGACAGACAAGGAGAGAGTTCTCCCATGGACTGGTTTACTCCCCAGAAGCTTGTAATGCCCAAGGCTGGGTGGGGCTGAAGCTGGCAGTTGGGAATGGAATCTGAGTCTCCCATGTGGGGCAGCAGGAACCTAATGACATCACTGCTGCCTCCCAGGTCTGCATTAGCAGGAAATGGGGGTCAGACCCCAGAGCCAGGAATCAAAGCCAGGCACTCTCATTCAGGACATAGGTATCTTAACAGGTAGGTTAAATGCCCACTTCCAGGAGCTAGCTTTTCTCAACAGATTCTCAGTCGTTGATGGAACTTTAATCTCCAAACTTCACAGATAAGAAGTTTCACAAATATCTGTGAACATACTCAGAGAATATTAAGTGCATTCTGTGGGGCTCTGATGTTTTCCTGCAGTCCACTGTGCCTTCGGGCTGTTCCAGACATTTCGAAAAGACATTGCGTTCCCACTTTCTGACACTGCTATTTGAGTGCCCACTGCAGATTCCATCCCTGAATACAGTTCTCTTTATGAAGAAGTATACTCTCATTTTCACAGCTCTGTGACCTTTCATTCGTTATTTATGAGCTTTTCCAAATCTAATACCACTCTGACAGATTTAATTTGTGCTCTAAATTACCTTTGCATGAGTTACTAAATTGCTGGTTTTATTCCAACAGATTACTTGCCTCATTCCGAATCAGAAAAAAAATCAGTTTGTGATCTATTGTACTTCCTCCACGTCTGAGAAATTTGAGAAGAGCTGCATTCTAAATTTTCTTTCTATGAATGGTGGTAGATAATGCAAAGGAGGATCCTACACTAGCCATAGAGGCAAAGTAATAGAATCATAATGGAGTCAGGTTTTACAAATCCATACCATAGCTGCTATTTCATATAGAGTCCATAAAATAAGATACTCCCACTCTTTAAACTGGTCAACAGAAGAGAATTAAGCACTTCTGGAAGATACATTGATTTAAGGTCCAAATACTACAGTAAAAATACTTCAGCACTAATATATGAGCAGCTGTGAGAGAGCCAATGCAAATCTAACTGTGTTTCAACGCTGCTCAGATTGAAATTGGGATGCCTAATATGAGAGCAAACTAGAATTCACATGCCTGTAAGATCATGACGAATCTAGATAACATTTTTAATATGTA